TTTTAAACCCTTAAAAACACAGAGTAATGAAGGAGACAGAAGTCTACACCATCATACAAAAACAGGTCACCTCTCTTTCACACACTGATGAGCAGTAGACAGTAGTCCAACCCTGCTGAAAACAGACACAACCTTCCCCGAACCCCCACAGACCCTCCTTCATATTCCTTCACTTTCTCATTTCATTTCTTCCTCTTGGGTCTCAAATGCTAGCAGAGGAAAACATTAACTCTTGTTCTCTCTTCATATATGTGCATGATCAGAATCTATACTGAATAACAAGACAGGAAATAGACTGTGAGAGAACAGAGCTCCTAGGATGGTAAGAAGCCATTCTAGGAGCTGGAAGGTTTATTTGGAAACAAGGAAGATGGCTCCTGTAATGGGAAGCCATATTGTGGACCCCAGGACATTTCCATACTAGGAACCCAGTGGGCATCATCCTCAAAAATTTCATTACAAAAAGCATAGCCCAAAGACAGTTAGTTTCTGTACCTAGACAACTCCATCCTGCAGCACAGCTGGTGTTATGAACTTCTCTAGCTCTTCACTGCTTGGGTCCGTGGGGCATGGCTGATACCTGGTAAATGACACCTCTATGCAGGAGGAGTAGTGATGGTACCAGAGACGGCAGAGACCATAGATGGCAGCCAGTATGGCAGCCCCTAGGGCCACATGCCAGCAGAAGAAAATGGAGAGGAAGGCGAGGTCATTAATGTTATCTGAACGCCAGGGCTGTCTGGTGGGAGGAATGTACATCACTATACTGATTTGTAGCATCCAGTTGCTGAGCACCAGCCCCATCCATGTCTTGAGCACCCAGAGTGATGGCTGGTTGGGGACCCAGATCTCTATGGTGAGCACCAAGCCCACCAAAAAGGAGGGCACCATAAAAAATATGTGGGCTCGGATCTCCATGACGCTCTTGCCTTGAATGTGGTTTATCATCAGCAGTAGCAGTATGAAGAAAGCCAGGGCCTCAGCTGCTCTCTCCAGCTTTATCTTCTGTCGTGCCAGACAAGACTGGCTCACAATGTCCACCACACCACTGAGCAAAAAGAATCCATACATAGTGACATGCTCCCAATTGTTCTTGAACATAAATGGTCGCTTAGGGTCCTTCCAGTCTACTATCATCATGCGGTTTGTTCCTGGAGGATAAAAAAACTCACCTAGGATGCCAGACACGGAGAAGACCAACTTCACTACCCCTTCCAGAGACATCAGCTGCCACCACCTCTGCCCTCGCTTCTCTCTTGGGGGCAGAGGAAGTTTGAGGAATCTCTGTTTTCTCACCAGGGCCAGAGACACCAGCACTGAATAATAGAGTGAATAGAGAAGGAAGAACATCCCTGGCATTAGATGTCCCTCGAGGGTACCCATGGCCCAACAAGATGAGAGCTGGCAGATGAGCAGAAACTTTGGAGACTGCCCTCACAAGCCAGAGCTGCTGCTACTGAGCTGAGTGCTGATCCCCTGGTTAGTCCTTTCTACATACAGCATACCTCCCTGCTTGCCTTGCCCTATTATTGGGCAAACTGGAAACAAGATGAGTCACTGTCCAGGGTGGAACCTCTCTAAGACATGCCACTTTAGTCACCTCACTCTGTTTCCTAATTAAATCCTACTTAAGTCTGATGGGTGTGGGATTTGAACCTCTGTACTTTACTGCAGGCAGCTCTTCCAAGGCTTATGTTTTCAGCTCTGCAGAGAGAGGCGGGCAGAAAGAGTTAATGTGTCCCATCAAAAAAGGGTGTGAGCTGACTCTCAAATTAAGAATCTCTCTGTGACAAGCACATGACTTATTATTTTCTCATTTAAATTTCTCAACACCTCTAGGAGAGAGATATTTTGAAGTAACATGCACCAGGTGACACGTTTAGCAGGCACCATAGTAGAGCCAGGTCAAAGTTGATTTATCTACTTACAAAACCCAGAGTTTGTGTACAGGAAAATGACTGATTCTCAGCTTTAACACAAATTATATGACTATGGAACAGTTACTTTGTCTAGTTGAGCCTCAATTTCCTGGTCTGTAGCTATGTGTCAGAAACCAACTCAACGACACTTAACAACAACAACAACAACAACAACAGAATGGGAAAAAAATAATTACTTCTTAGGCATATTGTAAGAATTAAATAGGACAATGTATTGTAAAGTGTCTAGTACATAGTAAATATTTGATAAATGGCAGTGATTATTAATAACTTTACTATTATTATTATATACTAAGGTTATATACTATTATATACTAATGTTCCTTGATAAATTGCTGTGATCCTGAAATTGCTCCTTTATTTCTATTAATAATGCCAAATCAGAAGCTACAACAATAAAAAAGTAAAGTAACTGTATGTTATGGATTGAATTGTGATCCTCAAAAATATGTATTGTAGAAATAATGGAAATAAAAAGATTAATACAAGAATACTATGGGAGGGGAGATACACAAGAACACCCAAACTTTCAGATAGTCCTCATCTGACCTAGCCTCGATGGCTTAATAATCAGAATTCAACTAGAGGAAGATAAAAAAGAAAACTATTTTTGATAAAGGAAATGAGGATAAATTGCTACAATTTGATGAACTTGACCTATACTCATGGAGGTAGTAACTCTAAATACCAACAGAGAGGGAAGGAGTCTTCACATCA